TTGTATGGTTTTAATATATTATTAATGTGTTAAAAAGAACCACAAACAGTACTAATAGTTGTCAGACTTAAGGGGCGCTGGGGATGAATTGAGTGGTGCGTCAGCACCCCAGAAACAGGCTGGAAACGCCTGTGGGGATGACTGAAGTCAAAACAGAAGAATTAATAAATAAAGGTAAAAGAACAAAAGGAGAGGGGAAATAACCTCAATCCTAAATAGAAACAGGGACAGACAGAGTAATGTCATCTATCTATAGAGACACACGGAAGAGGGGAGGGACATGGGATACTGGACGTGACAGGATGGTTAGAACTAATGGCCTTCAGACAGACCAACAGGAAATCATCACAGAAATACTATCAGCTGGTATTCATAACTGGCACTGGTCATCCAACTGATCTTCACAGTTTCATTGTGTTTTGTAGTTCAGTGAACCATATGTGCCATCAGCGAAACACCCTGGATGAGAATCAGAACCTCTTGCAGAGCTTCCCAGCAAGGACCTTCTGGAGGAGCTCAGTCAGCTAGATGAAGTCTGTTCCTGCTGTTGGGAAACGTGGAGTCATGAGATAACTTCCTGCTTCAGTAAACCTCACCTGAAAAGTGGCCACTTTGGTTTATGAAACAGGTTGGCTTGTGAAACAGCTTCCTGTTGCTCTTTCTCTCTCTCAAAGACAACAGACAGCTGAGCAGTTCATCAGGAGAAAAATACTTCCTGAATGCAGTCAGTAGTAAGAGACAGATCGCTGCAGCACGCGTGTGAAGCACCTGGGTAAGGTATGTGCTTGTTATGGCCACCAGCCTGGCCTTTGATGATCCCGGAACCAGGATCACCCAGCCCCGGTGATCAGCCAAGCACCTCCCCTCCTCCTGCTCTCCTGCAGGCTGCTGAGGAGCAGCTGAGTCTTGTTCTGTGTGACATGAAATGGTACCAGTGATGATGCTGCTTGGATAATCGTATCTTCTCAGCAGCAGCACTGCAGGTGCTCTCCATGTCCAAAATGTGCGTAAGCCAGGTCCTTAGTCAACTTAAAGTTGCGTACATTTTTCTGCTAAGTTTTCTTTTATAAATCCCAAAGTTTGTGTGGAAAATTGCTTACGCAGTTTTCCAACCCCGTTTTATGTTTATTTGTTTAGCAGACTCTTTTATCCAAAGCGACTTACAATTTATAACCTGTAGGGCATGTTGTGATCTGTGGGGGAAACCGGAGGAAACCCACGCATGCATGGGGAGAACACGCAACTCCACGCAGAAAGGCCACAGCCGAGTTTCGAACCTGCGACCTTCCTGCTGCGAGGCAACAGTGCTAACTACCGCGCCACCATGCTATGTGGCACAGTGGTTAGTGTTTTGTGCGTAAGCAAGTTTTATAAATGAGACCCCTGGTCATTAAGCCAATCAGTAACAAGTTTCCTTTAAAAGGAACCCAGCAGGTTGCATCGAGTCACTGACTAGTGTCAGAGTCTTTACAGCAATCCTCATACTAAGCAAGCATGCAGCGACAGTGGAGAGGAAAACTCCCTTTTAACAGGAAGAAACCTCCAGAGGATCCTGGCTCAGTATAAGCAGCCATCCACCATGAGTCACTGGGGATCGAGAAGACAGAGCACACACACACACACACACACACACACACACACACACACACACACACACACACACACACACACACACACACACACACACACGTCTGTCTTTCTATCATAGTGAGGACCCTCCATTGGATTCAATTCATTTTTGTGATTTCACCATGCCTAACCCATACCCCAACCCTAACCATAACCAACACTGATCTATTCCTAACCCTAACCTTAACTAAACCTTAATTCACACCAGACCTCTAACTGGTATAGTAACCCCTTCTTTCCACCGGAGCCGTCAGCAGCACGTTACTGCAGCAGCCCGTCATAGCTGCTGATAGGAACCGCTGTGGTCAACAGAACCTTTTCCACCAGAGCCGTCAGCAGCGCGAGTCGGCCGCGTCTCAGGAGCAGCATGTCGCAGCCCTTATGGGCTCGACACACGGGAGGTGACAAACGACCACAATCAGCGAAATTTGTTGCTGTCGCTTTTATTACCTGACACACGGGAGGCGATCCGCGGCAGCGGCCAGCGGCAAAGCCGTCCACGCGTTCTGTTCCATGGCGAAATCGAAACTTCCGTTGTTTTGTTTGGCTGTGTCAGGTTGGAGGGAATTAAGGTTATTTAAGCGGTTCAGAGTTTAAAAAGTGGTAGATATGATGTTTCACAAGGTGCTGCTAGAGTTATGTGAAATCTTACTTCTGATTTTACTATAAAACATAATAATAATCAACTTCTCCTCCATGTTTGCTCTGAGATGTACGGAGCATTCTGTCCGCTCATTGGTCAGTGAATGAAACCTCCGTTGATTGGTCCTCGTCCGAGCGACAGCGATGAAAAGTTGAAAATATTTCAACTTTCTGGGCTCGCGTCGCTGGGTCGCCTGTGCACAACACGTGCACAAGCGCAAAATTTCACACGCACTTTTTTCGCGTTTCGCTTGGTAGGAGGGAGACCCGCGATTATCGCTTTGTCGCGCATGTCTCATTGAAAATGAATGGAGGAGAGGCGATGTCGCCTCCCGTGTGTCGAGCCCATTACGCGCCGGTTCTATTTTCTATGCGCGACGCCTCTGAAACGGGTCAAGTTCGACATTTTTGGGGAAGGAAAGACAGAAAATCGGACGCGGAAACGGAACAAAGCTCCCGAGATTTTCAGAATAAAGAAACGTACTGCCTTCCGGTTGCTTAGCTTTTAAAAGAAGTTACTAACTGTGCGTCCCCGTGAGAAGTTATCACCTAGCTAGCAGTCACCTTTGTTTTTCAGGTCCATATTGGCGATTATAAAACAGACAGAACATAAAACACAAACCTTTTGGAGCCATGTTGTAGTTTTCTCCTGCTTGTTGTGTTTACTGACGAAGTCACTCGTGTGACTTCGTGCTCTGTCGGTGACAGCTGCTCCCCTGCTGCTACGCGTCTCTGGTGGGAAGGTCCAAGCAGCAGCTTACGTGAGCAAGACGTGCTGCTGACGGCTCAGGTGGAAAGGAGGGGTAAGCTTCTAAAAAAGGAATATTGTAGGAAAAATGGTCAAAATCCTCAGTATGTAGTATGTACAAGAACACACACACACACACACATACTCATGCAAACACACACACACACTCATGCACACACAAACACATACACACACACACACACACACACACACACACACGCACACACACACACACACACACACATACACACACTCACGCACACACACACACACATACACACACACACACACTCACGCACACACACACAGGAGCAGAACTCTATTGTTTCAAATATTTTATGACAACAGGAAATGATGTCACCAGAGAGAGCAATTGGAGTGATGTCATAGGGGGGTCACCTGCAGGTTTACAAGACAAACAACTTCCTGTGGCATCCCTCAGTTACCACCCTGATCCTGACCCTGATCTACAGGTCCAGGTCTACGGGGTTCACTAGAACCCTACCTCCTCACCAGACTCCTGCTGACCTTAGACCTGTGAGGGAGGGTCCTGATCAACAGGTCTAGAAGGTGTGTGATCCTCCTCTCTGATGGAACTGTGACTGACTGGAGTTCTTCCTTCAAACCAGCTAACCATTAGCCTGTAGCCTAACTGCTCTGTTTCATCCTCTAAATAAAAGCATCTGCCACATAAATGTAAACAACAACACAAACACAAGCGTGAACCAATCAAATACCTGGGAGCGTCCTGAGTTTGTCTGCACACAGCTGATAAGGAGCTGTGACCAGGTGAGTTCAGGTGAAGCTCATAAAGCTGGCCTGGAGTCAGTGTCTGTTGGAGCTAAAACGCAGATTAAGGTTCAGGTGCTGATCTGAGAACAGTCTGAGTGGGAGGTTTGATCCTTCACAGCTGTTTGTGTCAACGAGGCCTTCGAGGATCTCTGATGTTTAAGCTTCAGTCAGAAAGTTAAGGTGCTGATCCACGTGCACGTGCACATCGTTTCAGTCGTTTCTGCAGAACTTTTAGATTTTAGTGACGTGTGGTTTTAGCTGAAACTTTATTCAGTCATCACTTACAGAAACTGTTGACTAAAACCATCTTCATGCTTCATGTGATGAATGGTTTCCACCTTCTGGGTTCACTTGTGTGTGCGTGTGTGCGTGTGTATGTGTGTGTGTGTGTGTGTGTGTGTGTGTGTGTGTGTGTGTGTGTGTGTGTGTGTGTGTGTGTGTGTGTGTGTGTGTGTGTGTTTGTGTGTGTGTGGTTGTTGGTGCCTGTGTTTTCTGTGCTGCTTGTGTGTGTGTGTGTGTGTGTGTGTGTGCGTGTGTGTGTGTGTGTGTGTGTGTGTGTGTGTGTGTGTGTGTGTGTGTGTGTTTGTGTGTGTGTGGTTGTTGGTGCCTGTGTTTTCTGTGCTGCTTGTGTGTGTGTGTGTGTGTGTGTGTGTGCGTGTGTGCGTGTGCGTGTGCGCATGTGTGTGTGTGTGTGTGTGTGTGTGTGTGTGTGTGTGTGTGTGTGTGTGTGTGTGTGTGTGTGTGTGTGAAGTATTACTAATTCCAAAGTGAAACTATAGATCTTCAGTACTTTTGAACTCAAAGCAGAACTGGAGATCAGGAGCCTTCTGGACCAGCTTGTGGTTCCTGTGGACTCACCAGAACCTCGTTCTGGTTCTAGTTCTGTTCCATCAGAGATCAGCTGGTGTCAAAACCAATAAACACAAATCAGTCCAGAATGCGTCTGCACAAGTTGTTTTTAATGAAACAATATGTATTATTGAAATGTTTACGTCATCATTTCTTTAGCTACTAACCTGTCAGTCGAGCCGAAACCACGTGACAGATTTGACTTTAAAAGAACACAGCGCAGTCTGCGCGTGCTCTTCAGGGGAGAGCCCGAAGAGGCGCGTGTCACCGCTCAAAGGCCTCACCTGCTCAGGTATATAAGTACCAGAGAGCCACCAGCCGCAGGGAGCGGTGCGCGGCGCACATGAAAGACACAAGCCGCTCTTCGATAGATGGACCGGATCAATTATCCCTCCGCGTGAAGATAGGTGGCGCGAGAAGCTCAAACAGAAACAGGAGGCGCTAGAGCGGATCTGACCGATCTACCGCCGGGCCGAGCCTCTAGAACCAGAACCTGCCCGAACTCAGCGGACCGTTTCAATCCGCGGGTTCTTCCTCGGCCGGGAAACATCCAGCTTCCTCCTCCTCCTCCTCCTCCTCCGCTTCTTGTTCTCTCCCTGTAGTCAATCAGCAGGCTGCGCCTGTACAGCTTCACCTGAGCAGACAGGTGAGGAGAAGCGCGCTCAGACAGGTGTGTGATGGATGGATGATGCGTATGCAGGCAGACAGGAGTCCTCAAGAGGGCCCTGTCCGGTTCCCAGACCCGGTTCGGTCTGGTAGGAACGTTAAAACACCACAAAGGTCTGAAGGGTGATGAATGAATGAATGTTCTGTAGAATCATTAACAAGTTGGTGGTGTGTGTGTGTGTGTGTGTGTGTGTGTGTGTGTGTGTGTGTGTGTGTGTGTGTGTGTGTGACCCCTCCTCCTATCAGACAGCAAAGACTCTCCTCTCACCAGACATCAGGCAGACGGGCACGCGGGTGGCGGTGCGCGCTCCTTAACAAAGTGCTGGAAGTGGTCATGGCGCGTGCGGACTAGTTGTGCAGCGGGTTTCGGAGTTCTGGGAGCAGGTTCGAGTTGGGGAACTGGTCCGGGACTTACTGGTGTGTGCTGTGTCCAGACAGCACGAGAAGCACATGAGACACGGAGACCCGGATCCATGAAGCGGATGATGGCGGAGGGTCCCCGCTGCAAGAGGCGCAAACAGGCCAACCCCCGCAGGAAGAACG